CCCCCAATTTTTCTCTTCTTTTTTTTTTTCCCCTCTCCCTGTTTTTCAAGGCAATCGCTGGAAAACACACTTTGGAGTGTGCGGAATATCGGGCTGGTGTGCGAGGCTCTTTGTATGTAAATACTGTGTTTAAAAAAAAGAAAATCACACCCTCCCTCTCTCGCTGACACACACACACACACACACCCGCGGAAGGGCCCTCCCCACGCCGGTAATTAACTGACACGTTATACCACTCATCACCAATGGTGGAAGCTCGGAGCTCGCCCAAAACCCGCAATTTCACATCTGCAAACACTGTCTTCATCCACTTGACTTCCAAGACCCGCCCACACGTGGCCAACCTTTCCCGGGTTTAATGTATTTTTTTTTTCTCCCTCCTCTCGGCAGGTTCATGTGTGGGGACCAGCCTTATATGGACTGTTCGCTCCAGCAATGGCTCGGGTTTTTCCAGCGGCAGGCACGGGTTCGGGGTGTTTAAGCAAGATCCAGAAGTGATCTCTTTTTTTTTTTTCTTTTTTTTTTTTTTTTTTTTTTTGGCGTCTCTTTCCCCCTTTCCCCTGGAGTTACAAACTATTTCCGAAGCCGGCTGCTGCTCCCGCTCTCTCTGAATTCCCCCCCCCCTCTCCGTGGCAGAACAAGCGCGTAGAAACCGCCGCCGCCGAGATCCGCCGCTGCGGCCGGGGCTCCGCTTCTTCTTTTGCACGAAACCCTTCGGTTATTTTTCTAGAAATCTGTATTATTCTCTTATATATATATATATATATATTTCCCCCCCCCTCCTCCACGCGTGCTGCCTCCCCCGGCTGCCGTGTGCGTGTTGCGGGGGTCGGTGCCGCCGCTCCGCGGGTGCGGAGGGTGAGACGGGCGGATCGGCGGAGCCGCTCCTCCAACTTTCCTGCCTAATATTTGAACCCGGACCATGTCTCTGACCAACACAAAGACGGGTTTTTCCGTGAAGGACATTTTGGACCTCCCCGACACCAACGATGAGGACGGCTCCGCCGCGGAGGGGGGAGAGGAAGAGAGCGAGGCGCCGGAGCCGCCCAAGAAAGCGGGAGTTTTGGGACAAACCCCCTTGGACACTGTTCAGACGCTGCCTTTGAAGAACCCTTTCTATGATAATAGCGATAATCCCTACACGCGCTGGCTGGCGAGCGCCGAGGGCATCCAATACTCCCGTGAGTACCGCGCAACCGGGACGGCAACGGGGGCAGCGAGCGGCTCCGCGCCCGCGGGGGCTTCCCCGGGCGGCGGGGTGAGGAGTAAGG